GATTTTTACAAATCTCGACGTTTTACACCTCACTGATACGGAAAAACATAATTTTGCAATCTTGTCCGTATGTCTGTGTGTGTGTGTGTCTGTGTGTCTGTCCGTGTGTAAACACGATAACTTGAGTACCGTTACAGCTAGGTTGATGAAATTTCATATATAAGTATTTTATCAAAATCGTAGATCCGTATCAACTTTTGAGCGATTTCCGATAACCGGAAGTGGTACTTTTCCTACTTTGAATTTTTCAAAAGCCTATAACTTGAGTACTATTTCAGATAGATAAATGAAATTTCACATGTAAGTAAAAGATCTAATTCTCTACCTTCTGTTAAATTTTGAGTAATTTCCGTTGACTGGAAGTAGTAATTTACGCTACTTCCGATTTCTCAAAAAACTAATGTAAATTTTTAAAGTACTAATAATATTGCGCACTATTATACGCGTTTTTATTCGGCGTTTGCTTGGTGCGCAATGTTTTTTTTATGAGATTCTATTCTATTTTTAAAAGTTTAAGTATTTAAAATGGATTAAAAATCATAACTATATCCCCAGTTACCATCCCCTGTTGTTTTATATAAGAATATTCGAGAAAGTTTAGGGGAGATCACTACCGGTTTATTTAAATAGCAATATCGTTTTTGTATAGAGGTTGTGGTGTACATGATGTGGCCTCGCTTGAATTACGAAGTTAGCTAACGATGTTGTCTACTCAATGTGGTCTACGCAATGTGGTCTCTCTCTATATATAATATTCCCAAATTTTTTTAGAGTGGCGATCCCTTTTTCATAAGCTTTTATTTAGTTCGCAACGTCTGTTTGTTTGTATATCTTGTAACTTTATTTTAACCCACATTAGTCTCCAGTGACAGCGGTTTTTTATGGCCGTTTTTTGTCACTGAGCCGGCGTAAAAATACGCCGGTATTTGTCTTTTAGAGATTGAAAGCAGCTGATTGGTTTCTAATGCACATATTTTAAGTCGTAGCCTATGTGGTGTCAGCTAATTACTAAAACGTGGACAATAAAACAAAACGTTTATGATAATCATAAGCTTTTGAATGCACTTTAAGAATAAAACAACCTAGATTTCTTTAAATATGTCATATCCCGGGCAGTGGCGTAGCGAGGTCGGGTGCCACCCGGTGCGGCACTTAATAGTGTCACCCCCTCCCCCCCCCCCCCGCACCCTCCTCAAACTTTCGATTTGCACCCTCTCTCAAACTTTCGATTTGCACCCCCCCCCCCCTTCAAATTGTTCTCTATACATTTTGCTATTTTTTTGCTTTGGTGTCACCCCCCTAAATGGTGTCACCCGGTGCGGTCCGCACCCCCCCCCCCCCCCCGCTACGCCTCTGATCCCGGATATTATCCGATCCTTTTATTGGCGTGCCGACACTATTTTTTAAATTTTTATGTATTACATAGTATATTGAGGTAATCTATCGTTTTAGCGTAATCAATTCGGCCGCAGTAGTAATGTGCGGGAGAGGTAACTGATGAATATATTTGTTTAAATAAGTATATTTAAGTCAAATTGTACAAAATTAAACAGATAATTGATTTAAAATAACAATCAGTGACCAAAAAAATTTAAAATACCATGAAACTAATTTTAAACAAGGTGTTTGAGATAAATGTTAGTAGATAAAAACAGCGGCCATCTTTCCAAATAAAATTTAGAGTAGTTTCCCTTGATAAAAATGTCTATTCGTACGTATATTGTGTTGACTTTGTTGTTTAATATACATAGCTGTCTTGTTTAATGTAAGTAGTACAGAGGGCCGTCTTCTTATCTTTAATTTCAATTGAAATGAAGGCTATGTATGTATGTATGTATGTACATCCAAGATCTCAAAAACTTTTGGGAGGTCCATCATTTATTAAACCCTTTTGTACTGATGAACTTGTCAATTATTAGGTCGTCCATATTCTTCATAAATGACGTTGGACTCAAAATATGGGACGGGTAAAATATTTTTTTTTTAAAATGATGAACAATATATTCGTTTTTGTTAGAAATTGTAATTACGCATTCGGGTATAGTAGAACTGCGATATGATATTAAATCATCATCTCGCTTTTAGTGACGATTTGGGGAAAGGGAATTCGTCGGGAAAAGTATGATGTCATTTATGGACAGGGCCGGCGCTACCTATAAGGCGAACTAGGCTGTCGCCTAGGGCGCTGTTCGTAGGGGGGGGGGGACGCCAAAATGGGTTGGAAAAACAAATTGAAAGTTTGAGGGGGGGGGGGGTTGCAAATCGTAAGCTTGTCCCCGGGCGCTGGAAGGGTCGCTACGCCTCTGATAATACGGGGGCATGAAAAAAATTGCGGGGGGGGGGGCGCTTTTAATAAGTTTTGCCTATAATAATCTGGCGCCGGCACTGTTTATGGGTGATCCATTTAAGCCTAGTTGTTTATTTTGTCTGTAGACATTAGTCTTAAGCCTACACTTTTTCTGAATTAAGATTATTGTGTTTATAAAAATAGTTTTAAATTTTAATTAGTTACATTTGAATACCACATGGTTTTTTATTTGTTCAATAGTCGTTGTTTACCCCTCCCCACCATCCATTATTACAAAAACAAAAAACACTCAATATATGGTGATATCTCCCTCTAGAAAAAAAAACTAGATCAACCTATAGTTCGTAGGAGAATTAGAATCTATCACTTATTCGTCTGTTAAAAAAAGAAACACGTCATTTTTCTCAACCCCGCCGTTTCATCCCCCACTTAGCACAACGTCACCCAAGTTCTCAGCGCGCGTGACGTCATTAGTCATTAGGCTAATTTAATGTTAAAGAAAGAGATACCGCGTAATTAAAAAAAAAATCAAAACAGGCACTATGGAGTTGAGACTTTAGCGACTTTTAGCCTGACGAATAGATCTAAATGACTTTTGTTCAGTGAATTATATTGGTGTTTAATTTATTACAGTGGCATGCTGTGCTCCCTCTACTACACAAATTCACGTGCTTTTAATTTCTGCAACCTGCTGCCCTGAGACGTTCGGCTCTAAAATGCCCGTGATACAGCGGCCTCCGGAAATACATTTAGGCTCCCGGTCCCACCTATACACTTCGTCTGCCCATTAAGCTCCACGTAAAACTTGAGATTGATATGTGGACATAAGCGGCGATAGTGGTGGTGTCAAAAGGGACCCCCCCTCCCCAAGCTCAGCTCTTAAAGGTGCTCCGCACTTTATAAAAGACAAAATTGATGTTCATACATCGTCGGACTCGAGCGTTTAGCCGACTGCCGTATTCCTAATGCACCGTCCACTGCTAACACTATTTCTATATTAAACTCAAGCCTATACTGAGCTCTGGCTTTTTACATTAGCTGCTTTCGAATTAAGGGTTGATCTTTTGTTATGCCCCATGTCGCGAAACTTGCTGTTTTGTCCAATTTTACCTGCAAGCCAATAATTGTCTTGGATTCTTGTCGAATATCGTTGCCAGGAGCTAGTTGGTTTGAGCCTTATTGTCAGACGTTATTACATTTGGAGTCAATGTAGTGCGGCCTATTTTCGTCGGTAGGCATTTAGTGGCAGGCCCTTTTTGGCGGGGATGATGTGCTGAGGTTGTTTAAATTTAACACCGCTTAGGACAACAGGCTTGCAATAGTTATGATCATTCGTTATGAGCAAAGGCATGCATGAAAACGAACGCTTTATGTTCCTCATTTTCATTGAGCACAGCTTTATAGAAGTCTTCCATAATTGACGTCACTCATTCCCCCCCCCCCCCCCGATCACCCCTTCATTATAGGTCATAAATTGCAGTCCTACGTAACTTGACGTCACATTAGAATAGCATATGTGACATCGTTTATGGACAACCCCATATAACTCATTTTGGGTATTTGGTATCAACATTTTGACAACAAAGGTTGTTCAAAATGTGTATTGGAGGTTAGGACTTGACATTTATCATAAATGACATCACGCACTTAAGGGATGGAGTAACTGATTTTGAGACGACGTTTTACGCGGGAAAGGGGAGGGGTAAGAAACGTGAAACGTTAAGTATTTCGCCTAATACAAAAATGCTGAAAAAAATTCTTTTTCGTTTGAATTATGGCTTGACTTTTTAACAGGCAGGGCAAAAAGGTAATTTTCGACATTACGACTATTTCGTGACGGCGAAAATGGGGGGAGTGGGGGGGGGGGGTTAAGGTGAAGATAGGTAAAAAAAACGTGACGTCATTTATGATTTAATAACTAATTAAAGGAAAAAAGCATGAAAATATGAAATGAAAATAGCAAACAAACAATGACACAAGCAATAACAATTAACTCAAACTAATATTTAAATAAACATTAGATATGTAGTGGTAGCTCTATAAAAATAGGGAGTTTCTTATGCATAAAAATTACATATCATAATAATAATTGTAGAACTGATGTTTATTGTCGGGCAATTAAATTGTTTAAAGGGCAGAATTTTAAAAAAAAAACGCATGCTTTGTATTTAAACACAAGACAAACGTATTTAATAGCAAACATAAATACATTTCCATACAAATAGAAATGAAAGGGAAATGACTCAAAATAATATTTTCTTAAGATGGCCGCTGTTTTTAATAGCAAATTTAGTATCTGGAACATCGTTGTTAAACCTTAATTTCATGACATTTTTATTGATTTAACCCTTAAATGTGGTTTAATATTCAATTATCTTTAGTATTTTAGTAGAATATGCAAAAATACATTCATATTTAAGTCATATTTATTAGTTACCTTATCCCTACATTGCTAGTGATGACCGAATTGATTACGCTAAAACGATAGATTACCGTATATTGATCTAACAGTAACAAGCACAAGAAAAGAAAGAACCAACATTTTAAAAAATGGAACTCATAATTATGATCATGACTGATAAACTAAAATCAATTTGTAAAATGCGAAGAAATTATTTTATAATGGACATTTTAAACTGCTAAAACCTGCTATAGGTAAAGGTTTTATTTTTAAAAAATTAATGTACGACTAGGCTACTCTCACTAAAAAAAAGTCCACTAGTCTAACTATACTACTACTACTATACTTCACTAAATAAATAGCTATATTATTAAACTTAGGCCTAGGTTTACTTGTAATATGTAAGTTATTGTAACCAAAATTAAAATTATTAACAACGAATTCCCGATTTTCGGATGATTATAATACTAGTTAGTAGTTATTTAGTAATATTTTTATTATTTAGTAGTTATAGATAGATAGCCTACTAGATCTAGATCTAGATACCAGTGCCAGTGTCCGATAATCATAATGGAATCAATCATCTTTAAAAAGGGGTGTTGGGTTGTTAACTTATAGTATACTAGATCTACTAGTGAGTAGCTAGAGTATTGCAATCTCGACTAATTTTATGGTTAGAAATTAGGGTTAGCGTATGGTAGGACCAGGGTTGGGGTTAGTAGTTAGTAGGGTTAGAGATAGGGTTAGCATTGACATTAGTATTAGCCAGCCATGTGTGTAGGGCGTAGGGCCTATATTTTTACTAATTTAGTATTTAGTTAACTACCAGTAACCTAACACCCCTTTTTTAAAGAAGATTCCATTATCGGACACTGGTGTAAACATTCTCCCGCAATTGCCCAAGCTATATAACGTATGCTGATAATTAAAGTCAATGTCATCAATGTGAACTCACTGTGAACCCTCGACCCCTGACCGTGCAGGGATTTTTCTCCTGCTAATGATCACACGCTATTTAATTGGAACTCTAGGCTAATGCTTATAGTTATATTAAATATTTAGAATGATTTTTTTTATCTTTAACAAATTAAAACACACGTCTAGATCTAATCCTAATATTTTCTTAATGTTTTTGTGATTCGGTTGTGTTTATAATAAAATATGCTCAACCAGAGGTGAACATGAAGCTGCAAATAAAGTACACTAAAATGGACTTTTATAAAATAGGCCTATTAATAAATTATTTCATATTTTTTTGGGGCCTAACTAAACTCGTAAAGGACGATCTTTCCAGTCGTCCCTTTGAATCCGTGTCAGAATGTCCAAATAAAAATACACCTAAACATGTTTTTTTTTCAAACATATTTACTCTAAAAATTGGTATTCAACATAAAAACTTCTAGGATTCCGATACCCAGTATTGTCTCTGCAAAAAATTTTCTACTTATACATTTTCAGGTCTTTTCTTCTCTAGTTCATCATGGATATGTCACCTTCAACAAGCTCATCATCCAGAAGAGGAAGTACCAGAAATGCTGGAAAAGAGGACAGCATCATTGATGACTTGGATGAAACAACAGAGATTGAATCTGAGGCAGGAGATGATGAAGAAAGAGATGAGTTTGAAGAAGGGGACGGTGCACAGATGGATGGGGATGTTGATGGAGAACTAGATGCAGCAGATGATACAGAGGATGGAGTCAAGAAGGGAGGTGGCAAAAAGTCTGAAGACGTGTTTGAGGATTTTGAGTTTGTCCCTAGAGATTCAGAAGTGGCTAGTAGCTTATCTGAGGTAAGTTTTGGTTTGGCTTATAGTTTCAACACTATCTAAATTTTTAGCCTAGTTAAATTATTTTCAAGTTGGTTAATAACTTTACCAATTGGAGTTTATTAATAAACTTTTATTGTAAAATGTGACATTCTGTCACTTTTAAATAAAACAAATAGCCAATGCAACTAGCTATTCAAAACAGAAAATTTAATATAAAGTGGTTATTTTTAAAAAATATCAACAAGAGTCATAGAAAGTAAGGTAACTAAAGCACCCACCCTTTCATAGTGCAGATGATGTTGAATTTATCTTAATTTGACATTCTTTTTAGTTTTGTCAGGTTAATATATATTCACTTGTGATTACTTATTTCACATATTTTCCAGGAAGTTACTATAGATGCCGGTGGATGGGGTGATGGTGATAAAGTATGCTCGGCCGTTATTAAAAAAGATCGTAAATTTGTTTGTATTGACTACCCAGGGGTCATCAGAAATGTGGACAAAGCTGTAGCCACACTGGGAGGTCTACAAGATCTAACCGAGGTCAGTGCTGCTTGTCTTGTTTTGTTTTTCATTCAATTTTTTTTTTTAAATTGTAAAGTATACTTCATAGTATGAATAAAAGTCTTTTAAAATAATCAGAATTGTCAAATGATTGTAATCTACATACTACATTTAAATTCCATAGTTTAAACTGATTATCTAAGAATTATAGCAACAGTACTATGTTACAGCTTTGTTTGGATTTTTTATAGTACTAGTCTCAGCTTGTGGTCCTTTTGGGTTTTGCTGAGTCAACCCAGTTCTGATGGGGTACCTGGCTCAAGTCATTGATAGTGAAGACGATTGGTGAAAGTGTTGAACTTAAATATTTTTAGACGCCAGTAAAGTAAAATCGGAATAGTGTTGAGCACACCACAATCTTTTCATACATGAAAGTCAAATAAAAGATAAATTGTACATGATCTGCCCCATCAAAGTGTGACTTGTTACACTACTTAAGTATTAAACTAGCAACTTTTTTCTTCCAGGCCTTGTCCCAGAACCATCGTTTAAATTTAGTGTTTCGGCCCAATGATCCCTACTGTAAGGGCGCCATGTCCACGCTCAACCTGGCCAAAAATCTTCTTGTCAAGCTGCGAAGGAGACGCAAGCATCCTGCAGCAATGGAAACTGGTTCTGCGGATGAATATGAATATCAGGTGGAAGTGATTGGAATCGTCGAGAAAGTTCACGTTTTTGAAAGTATGGGTCGACTTTTAATTAGTTTCTTTTAACTGCTTAGTGGTTTTTGGTTGTAATTGTATCAAGAAAAATAATTGTAGCTATATTTTGTTTTACCCTTCTGCTCGTTATTTTAGAATGCTGTTTTCTGGGTAAATTTGAAATAATTTTCAGATAAAAAAGAAAAAGGCTTTCTTTTATACTCACAAATCACAAAAAAAAATAAATAATGTACTAAAAACTAAAAAAATAATTAGTGAAACCTCACTTAAGCTATATGCTGGTATGACTAAAAAATAAATCCTGGGCGCTCAATGATAAAAAATTGAACTTAGGTCTTATATTATGTTTTAGAGTGTAAACCTATCAATGGACTCCCTATGTATTCTCTATAAGTAAGCGCCCAGGGCACAGAACTTGATGTTGAATGATGGTATCCAATGTAAGTTGATGTCAGTCAAGCTGATAAATAATGCTTGTTAGATCCATGTTTGGTAATAAAAGCAATCCAAAGAATCAATGTGTAAACATTTTATTTTAACATTATTATAAACCTGTATTTGACATCATGAGATAAGAAAAAAAAACTTTAAAATTATTTCAGAGATGTGTGATTTCCAGTACCTGCCTGTGATAAAACACCCTGACGGTCAGTACAAAGAGATTTTGTCCAGCATTCGACCGACCATTGAGGATGAAAGAGATGAGTACTTGTCCAGAAATATTCCACTCTTCCTGCCCCCATACTGTTTTTCCAGGAGAGAGAAGCCCTGTGGTTTCTTCTTTGAATCTGAACCTTTTCAAGAGGGTGACACAAGTTTTGTACAAGGTATATTTGTTTCGTCTACGGGATGTCCTGGCAGTTTGTGTTTTTCGGGATTTGTAGCCTGTTTCATTTTTCTTAACTGTTTAACCATTAATGTCCCATTCATTCTACCAAAACTCCACCCATGACGGCCCAATGTAAGGAGCATAACTCTGTATGATCAAGTGAATATTTTCACAAAATATTTGTTTTTGTCTAAATGAAATTGAAAATTAAGATAAAAACTACTGCATAATGTTGGGAATAAACCTGGCTTTCCAACAGTATTAAATAGAATATATTATATTCGGTACAAGTACAGTATAAAAATATAAAATGTCGGAGAAAATTCAAAACAGGTCATTTTCGGTAGTCAACTTTATTTATTTTTGTCTAAACAACTATGCATCGAATTTAACAGTTAAATATCAATTTGGTTATGTTTAAGATATATAATTCATAAAATACATGCCTAGATACGTTTAGAGGGATTATTTTATTTTATTTTTAATATTAAATCTACTAAAATAGGACAGATGAGTCTAAAATTTTGAGATGGAAAGAAACTATTATTTTTTATCTTTCAAAAGCGCCATTGAAATTAGAAGACCGGAAAAGGATGCTGAAACTATCCGACTTCCTGTTTAGTTAAAAATTAGGATTTGTAGGCCAAATTTTAATGAAACAAATTTAATTTTTCTATGCGTATTGTAAGCGGGCGGCAGCGGGCGTTACGGGACATTAACGGTGTCGGGCGGCAGCGGGCGTTACGGGACATTAATGGTTAAGTCATTTTAACCTTTAGTCAGATAAGTGATCATTTGCAAACTGCATTAACTTGAGATTTTTTTTACAGCTAAGATTAAAATTTTTACATTCAGCTGTAAGTTATCTGTTGAGACTATGTATTGTGGGTTTATCATTATTTGTTTTAATCCTCTTTAGATTATGTTAAAATGGCAAATTTTGGGGTTTAAGTTATTCTTATGTATATACAAATTTGGGCAAATGAAAAAAAAATCTTCATCAGCTAAAATTATAATCTATACAAAAAAAAAGTATTAGCTGCTTTTTTTTTATTTACCCATGCTGAAAATCAGAAAGATTCAGGATTTTACAATAAATAATAGACAGTTTTTGTGCTGGCATTTCAGACAGAAAGAAACGTTTCCATGGTGTTGTCCATGTCTCCCACCACAACCCCACAGTCCCTCTGGTACCTGACCCAGATGCCTTCCAAAACCTCTCCAAGCTGCCAGTTAGTAATGTTGAGGATGGAAGGAAAAGCCTAGACAAGGTGGCAATAATTTAATTTAAATTGTTTGCTTTGATACTCTTATAATAAGTTAGATCAACATCCCTGTGATGATATCAATCAGATCAACATTCTTGTAATGTTATAAATCAGATTAACAATCTTGTAATAAATCACATCAACATCCATATGTTTTAAATCAGATTAACATCCTTTTATTGTCATTATTCACATTAATTCGCTTGTAATAAATCCGTTAATCATTCTAATATAACATTAACTCACAATATTATATAAAATCAATTTTCAAAAGATAAATCTGTTATTGTATTCTTGTTCTTTATTATGAAATCAGTTAAACACTCTTCAGTTTGTTAAATCAGCATATGTTTATTCGACGACAGATCTTTGAGGAGCGGCCATTATGGACCAAGGCTGGCATTCTCTCTCGGCTTGACCCCTACCACCACAGATACATCAAGTTCCTGCTGCCTGTGGTCGCCTTCTACTTTGATACTGGTCCCTGGCGCAACCTGTGGTGCAAGTTTGGGTACGACCCAAGAAAAAACCCAGAATCCAAAAAGTATCAGACATTAGATTTCAGGTTAAGATCAGGCAAGTTTGTTTACATTTTATTATCTTGCTTGTGTGTATCATTCTCTGCTATTGTAGTTTCATGCCAAGCATCAGCTGTGAAGAAAATAACTCCATAAAAAACAGGAGTAGTCATCTTAAAATAATGAAATTTAAAAATAGCTACTTACTTTACATAATAAAAACCAATAAAACTAAGGTCTAAGTATGAATCCGTAGAACAAAAATAATTTGAACATATATGATAGGTGATTATAAAGAAATCTCAAAAACCAAAATAAAAAATTGTTTCAAATCAAAATAATAATACAATGCAAAATAAACATACAATTGTGAAAAACTTTACATTTCTGCTAGAGACACAAAAACAAGTCACAATATCACTCACTCTTGATCTCTGTTAGCATATACAAAAACTCTTTCCCAGAGCAATGTGGTGAAACTAGTTTCAAAAGTGGTAGGCGGTTGTGGGTATGAAAGAGTTTAAAAAAAAAAATTCACGTTTTTGTTTTTTCTCTACCATTTATATTGTTTAACAGGTGAAAATATTAGTAAATCATATCCAAAATTTTTATAATTTGCTTAATGGATTTTTTTAAACGATTTATTTTTTCTAGTTGCAAGCAGAAATCAAGTAGATTCCAAGAGAGGGTTTGAAAGATACTCACACCCACAACTAAAGATTCGCAAGAACACATTGCTCCATGGCATAGAGGAAGATGAAGAAGAAATAGAGAAGAAAGAAGAAAATAAAAATTTGGTGAGTTGGAAGACAAGAGTTTACCCTTTAAAATTCTCTCCCTTGCAAAAAAAAGATGTACTTGTTTAGATTCTCCCCCTTTCATGCTTATGATGAATATTTTTAACAATCTATTTCATAAAGCCAGGACTGTATGGGCCTAGACTATTAGTTTTGTATTTGAGTGTGATATTTAGATTTTTTTTACAAATATTTTTGTTTTTCTACATGAGTTCTGGTTGGCTGTATTGAATGACCTATTGTTAACTTTCATACTTCTAAACATGTCACAAGAATAGTTTCTTAACAGTCAACTGGTCTTGCAGTGTTCTTGTGTTGGAAGATTATAAATGTCTGCACTTTCTCGAACAATTTTTTTATTTTATAATTACAAAAAGCTTTTTATTTTTAGTTGATTAAACTATTTTACTGACATTACTTTGGAAATTTTAAAATAAACTTAAAATGTTGATTCGTACATTTCCAAAAATATAATAAAATCATTCATGGGTAATACACTTGTTCTATACCCTATTAATTGTGTGCATTTCCATTGTCTTAATAGTTTTTTAGCAAACTTTCAGTCTTTCTGTTTTCTGTTGGACAATGATTTAGAAAAAAAAAAGAACAGGAGTTTCCCCTCATATTTTTATTATGTCAACTAATATTTTGGCTACACATCAGCGTATCACTAGAAACATAATGGGCCATCTGTGTCACACTCATGCCATATTTATGTCCATGTAACTGTGCTTACGTCAAATAGTAACTGTGCTGACATCAAATAGTAACTGTGCTTACGTCAAATAGTAACTGTGCTTACGTCAAATAGTAACTGTGCTTACGTCAAATAGTAACTGTGCTTACATCAAATAGTAACTGTGCTTACGTCAAATAGTAACTGTGCTTACGTCAAATAGTAACTGTGCTTACGTCAAATAGTAACTGTGCTTACGTCAAATAGTAACTGTGCTTACGTCTCTACAGGACCTGAACTACGTCTTCAGTCCTGCGCACCGGCCACCATACAGACAGATGAGATACCAGGTGTGTGATGTCATGCTGGATGATGTACAGAAGAAGCTGCATGAAAACGATGGCCAGGTAACGCTTTTATTTTCTCAGGTAAAAATGAATTAGAAAATAACTTTGTTAACTTTCCTGCTGATGAGGCTGGTATCATTAGCTATTGAAACAGAAAATTACGAATGCCTAAGAAAAAATACAAGTTCAGATAGAATTATATATTGTAATGAAGATTTTAACTTGGCATGCCTCAGTGGCGATTCACTAGCGCAAGGGATGCATGAATACTATCAGAAATATATATGCATCTAATTATTTATTTAGTTTTGACATCTCCCAATGTTGAGAATGGAGCATATGCTTGGAGTATGACGCTAGTTACTTCCCATTTTTTTAAAATTTAAATATTCAAGGGATACAACTTTATTCTGATTGCAAAAGTCTCTAAAAAATTTAAAAAATTCAGTAGTAACAAAAAAAATATAGGTTGCTGTTTTATTTATTGTAACAACACATACTTGAAAAACAGATTATGATTTTTCATGAATATTTATGCTTTATGCATATTAGAATAATCTTTTGACCCTTGTTTAAAATTTTAAAAAACACTAGCTATGTAAAATAGTTATATGGTAGACTTGTAGAAGTTCAGTTCAATGAAAATAGTGGCGCGTTATGTGCGAGGTTTGAAATTAGTTTTTCATTTTATGAGTTAAATGGAATTTTAATATAGTTCTGTAATGACAAGCCTGTTCTACTGTAAAAGCTAGCCTGACTAACTACTAGTCTGTCTAACAACTAGCCTGTCTAACAGCTAGTCTGACTAACTACTAATCTGTCTAACAGCTAGCCTGTCTAACAGCTAGTCTGTCTAACAGCTAGTCTGTCTAACTACTAGCCTGTCTAACATCTAGCCTGTCTAACAACTAGCCTGTATAACAGCTAGTCTGTCTAACAGCTAGCCTGTATAACAACTAGTCTGTCTAACAGCTAGTCTGTCTTAACTATTAGTCTGTCTAACAGCTAGTATGCTTTACAGCTAGTCTAACAGCTAGTCTGTCTAAAAGCTAGTCTGTCTAACACCTAGCCTGACTAACAGCTAGCCTGACTAACAGCTAGCCTGTGTACCATTTAACTAGTTCTACTGAGCTATTTATTAATCTTACTCTACAAGTTATCAATTAATTAAAATTCACTTGCAACAGAAGCTGGTAGCTGTACCAAAATCTGATAACTATATTTGTCTTATCAATTAACTATTTTCATCTAAAGTAGAGCTCACTTTACCAGTAATCAATCTTTTAAATCTTCTGAGTGTGGTTTTATTCTACAACTTGTATGTACTCATTCTTTAGATTAGTTACTATTTAATAGAAAAGTAATATTAAGCCCAACTATATATCTACTATTGATCTATTCTCTTGCTGAGGATAGGCTACAATGTTGTTTCTGTTTGGATTGTAATTTCCTATATCTCTTTTATTTTGTTGCTGCTGAAAACATTTTTTTTTTATGTTACACGAAGCTGTGTGCTTAACCTGTCATTGTGTTGTAGTTACTTTAAAAATATGGCTGTATATTGTGGTTACATTAAAAATATGGCTGTATATTGTGGTTACTTTAAAAATATGGCTGTATATTGTAGTTACTTTAAAAATATAGCTGTATATTGTAATTACTTTAAAAATATAGCTGTATATTGTGGTTACTTTAAAAATATGGCTGTATATTGTGGTTACTTTAAAAATATGGCTGTATATTGTGGTTACTTTAAAAATATTACTGTATATTGTGGTTACTTTAAAAATATTACTGTATATTGTGGTTACTTTAAAAATATGGCTGTATATTGTAGTTACTTTAAAAATATGACTGTATATTGTGGTTACTTTAAAAATATGACTGTATATTGTGGTTACTTTAAAAATATGGCTGTATATTGTGGTTACTTTAAAAATATGGCTGTATATTGTGGTTACTTTAAAAATATGACTGTATATTGTGGTTACTTTAAAAATATTACTGTATATTGTGGTTACTTTAAAAATATGGCTGTATATTGTAGTTACTTTAAAAATATGACTGTATATTGTGGTTACTTTAAAAATGTGGCTGTATATTGTGGTTACTTTAAAAATATGACTGTATATTGTGGTTACTTTAAAAATATGACTGTATATTGTGGGTACTTTAAAAATATGGCTGTATATTGTGGTTACTTTAAAAATATGTATGTTGTAATTACTTCAAAAAATTTGGCTGTATTTTATTCTCAAATTGTTTTGTATTTGCTGTTACAGGAATCTGTGTGTACAGAAAGAGATGGCTGGTGTGTGGCAGACTTCACTGACGTATGCAGGGATATAATGCACGGCGCCTGTGAGAAACTCTTTAAATAAGATATCCTGAGCTGCAGGGATATAATGCATGGTGCCTGTGAGAATATCTTGACGTCTGCAGGGATATAATGCATGGTGCCTGTGAGAATATTCTGACAACTGCAGGGATATAATGCACGGCGCCTGTGAGAAATTCTTTAAATAAGATATCCTGATGTCTGCAGGAATATAATAAAAGGCGCCTGTGAGAAACTCTTTAAATAAGATATCCTGAGATCTGCAGGGATATAATGCACGGCGCCTGTGAGAAACTCTTTAAATAAGATATCCTGAGACATCCGCAGGAATATAATGCACGGCGCCTGTGAGAAACTCTTTTAATAAGATATCCTGAGACGTCTGCAGGGATATAATGCACGGCGCCTGTGAGAATATTCTGACAACTGCAGGAATATAATGCATGGTGAGAAACTCTTTAAATAAGATATTCTTGAGTTGAATCAAGCGTTGAATCTGTAGCTAAGATTGCCTGGCTGGATGCTAGCAAACACAATCATGTCAACAAATTACTTGTGAGAAATAATTACAGTTTTGTAACTAGGTTTAATGATCTAAAATTGTTTATGGTAAATGGCATTTATTTAACTAGGTACAAAATTCAATGTTAGAATTTTGTATTGTATTTAAAATATTTGAAATAGTATGGATTATATTTTAGAATCATTTAATGTTTACAGAATGTCAAGATAAAACTGAAATTTGTGAACTAAATAATGTTTTAAGTTGATTATTTCATAGATGTTGATGCCTTTGATGTTGTTGGATGTTGTTACTGAAAGCAAATTGGTATTAAAAAATTATTTTTTACATTTTCAGGAGCTGGTGATTGTTGTTTTACCCTCGTCATGATTTATGTTTACCAGATAAAAGTAATCAATGATACTACCTTAAAACATTGATACTTGTTAAATTCTTTAGCACTCGTTGTTTGATAGAAACAGAACATTGCTATTTGACTGGGCCTGCTTGTAATAATAATAATAATCTGACTCAAACCATCTTACTCTTGTTATCTTATTATAACCACCTGACTCCAATCATCTTACTATAACCATTGACTCCAATCATCTTACTATAACCATTGACTCCAATCATCTTACTCTAACCATTGACTCCAATCATCTTAATATAACCATTGACTCCAATCATCTTACTATAACCATTGACTCCAATTATCTTAATATAACCATTGACTCCAATCATCTTACTCTAACCATTGACTCCAATCATCTTAATATAACCATTGACTCCAATCATCTTACTATAACCATTGACTCCAATTATCTTAATATAACCATTGACTCTAATCATCTTACTATAACCATTGACTCCAATTATCTTAATATAACCATTGACTCCAATCATCTTACTATCACCTTCTGACTTAAACCATCTGACTTAAACCATGTTACTATAACCATATGACTCAAATCACTTGACTCAAGCCATAGACCACTCAACCATCTGACTCCAACCAGTTTACAAAGTAAATCTCAGCCCCCCCCCCCCCCCCCCCCACTACCCACCCCGGCCCTTCATGTCCTCCAACCCACAATACCCCACCATTCCAGCCCCTACAAGACATCTCTACAGATATTTCCAGACTATCAAGTCCCACACCATCTGCTACAAAACATCCTTCTATTCAACCTACCAAATATTGTTTTGATCATGTGTCAATCCTATGAATACCTATCTTCAAAACACCTCTTTACATTTCTAACTATAGCTTTTTTTATCATACAGCCATAATTTGCAGGCTTAAAAAATTCCTTACTTCAACACGGCATTCATTTAAGAGTGTCTATATATTGTGCAAATATGGCAACCCCACTTCGACCCCTGGGCATTTTGACTGCAGTTTTTTTTTATATTTTTTTATTACTGAAACTGTTGACAATCTGGGTGTTGCAGGAATTCAAAGGGAGGGAATGCGGCGAAGGGGAGGTAAGAGATAGTTATCTCAAAGGTAAGCCCAAAGTCCATATATCTATCAACCAATCGTGCCTCTCCCCCCCCCCCCTCTCCTATAGCCGCCCACACAGAAAAAAATAGAGGGGCCAACTGGCTTATTGAAAGGGCGAGCTTACGGATAAGCGATCCATCATTCTTTAAATCGGAACTTGAGTTATGTCATTTGTGTTTAACTTGTAGTAGTTTTCGGTAATTTATGAGTTGGGTGGGTGATAACGTGGGCGAATAAGGTAGGCAGTAACAGACGAAAGATGTAGGCAATAACAGACGAAAGATGTAGGTAATAACAGACGAAATATGTAGGCAATAACGTGGGCGAATAAAGTAGGCGAAGTATACAAGTACGTATGTACATACACCACACACTTTAGTGTACACCCCCCCTCCCGCCCCCTAACACACACACACACACGTGCTATTTTAGTGTTCAACGTCCCCCCACCTCTAACACACATTTAAGCTAGTGTCCATCCCCCACTTTCAAGCCTCCCCCCCCACACACACACAACGGTACCCCACACACCAACCATAACCCCCATATTTTAACCTTCAGACATCTCCACACATACCCCACTTCACCAGACTTGCTGTTGTAGTAATATTCACCACAGCAACCACTTTACCATACAAATAGCTGCCAACATTCTACCACGGCCGTAATAAACCTATAGCAATACAGAAAATGCACCAGTTCGTTTTAAAACTATTTTAACAGCATGCATTAACATAGAAACACTCTTCAAACCGGCCCAAAAAAAAAAAAAATCCACAAAAACAAATTAAAATCGTACAATAGGCGGTGTCGTCTGTGGGGATTCCCCTTGAAATTCTGCCCTAGCGGTGTCCCACTATCGTCCCTAAACAAACATCTTGTCCACATCTTTGCATATTTTAATCCCGTGTAGGCTGTAGCGTATGTTTACGAACGAACATTCTCGATGCTCCCAAATTTAATTCTGGATATACTAGGATTATGTACTGGTATCTATTCTTATCATAAATTGTGCATTCAATCCAGCACATTTTGGGGGCGTTATAGAGTGGGTGTGGAGATGAATTTGATATTTGTAGCACCAAAACCTAATAGTTGTTGTAGGCTACATTAAGATTTGTTAGAGGATAGAGCATTGCTGTTGGGCGAGGGTTCGAATCCTCCGAGGGATATAAACATTAAATGGATCAAGATAAGATTGTCAGTAGAGCGGCTGTTTGTTCTTTTCTGTTGACAAGAGTACGTACATGGGAATACTAGCATGGGAAAACTGCTCACCCCATATCCCATCCTCATCCCCAGAGTTGAGGTTTGATCAACGTTTTTGTTTAAAACCATGTTGGTAGATAGTAACAATATAGTGGTTTAGCTCATAGATCATCTCCCTTTCTCGCTCTCACTCTCCCCCTTTCTATCCCTCCCCAATTCCGATCAGTGTCTCACCCTACGATACAAGATTAATTACATACATGTGGTGTGCTATACACAGACAATACAATGTCCAATTCTACAAGCCCTACTAGACTTTTCATGTTTTCACGCCTTGGTTTAGTCGTCCTGGAGTTAAACATTACCCTAACCCAGCTTGACGTGGTATAATTGTATGTGATTGTGGTTGATGAATGGCTGTGGTTGTAAACACAGGGGCTAAGGTTAGAGTTTTCCGCATTACAGAAGAAATGTAAACGTGGGGTGTGAAGACAACACCCTTGTAGTGTAGGACACCTCTGTGGTGTGATATGTCAAAGACAACACGTCTGTGATGTGTCTAATGCACAAATGTGCAATATACTCTACTCCCTCTAGCGCACAAATGTGCAGCCTACTCTCCTGCCGTTAGCACACAAATGTGCAGCCTACCCCCTCTAGCGCACAAATGTGCAGCCTACTCTACCCCCTCTAGCGCACAAATGTGCAACCTACTCGACCCCCTCTAGCACACAAATGTGCAACCTACACCCTCTAGCACACAAAAGTGCAGCCTACTCTACACCCTCTAGCGCACAAAAGTGCAGCCTACTCTACCCCCTCTAGCACACAAATGTGCAACCTACCCTCTCTAGCACACAAATATGCAACCTACCCCCTCTACCACACAAATGTGCAGCCTACTCTACCCCCTCTAGCACACAAATGTGCAACCTACCCCCTCTAGCACACAAATGTGCAACCTACCCCCTATAGCACACAAATGTGCAACCTACCCCCTCTACCACACAAATGTGCAGCCTACTCTACCCCTTCTGCCACACAAAAGTGCAGCCTACTCTACCCCCTCTACCACACAAATGTGCAGCCTACTCTCCTGCCGTTAGCACACAAATGTGCAACATACACCCTATAACACACAAATGTGCAGCCCACGCCCCTGTCCACCACACACAGAAACAACACGTCCCCACAAAAATACTCTGCACCTGAATCATACGTCGCAGCGAGCTATGAATCATAAGTTTCGTCCCTTACCTGAGAAATATGAGTCAACAATCTAAAACTATTCCACGCATAAATCTGGTTCACCTTTTCAAAAAGTTGATAGCTTGTTGCTTTGGAAGACTTGAAATCTTCAGCCAAAGAAGTTTTAAAAGTTTATAGATCTAGTATTGTGGTCTGTAGAGCTAAGATCCTTTTGGCAAGAATTGAGTCAATAGATTTATGGGAGGTATAAATGTTTATAATCTTTAGAGTAGGAGATCAACAACTACAAGTAATAAAAAATAATACGTACGAGCTTTTGATTAGAAGCATTAAATACTTTTGAAAGTTTTAGGTTTTGATTTTTACTTTCTCGTATATACGAAATATAGAGAAAGTTGTAATCGTGCAAAAAAAAAAAAAATCGAGATTTTTACAAATCTCGACGTTTTACACCTCACTGATACGGAAAAACATAATTTTGCAATCTTGTCCGTATGTCTGTGTGTCTGTGTGTGTGTGTGTGTCCGTGTGTAAACACGATAACTTGAGTACCGTTACAGCTAGGTTGATGAAATTTCATATATAAGTATTTTATCAAAATCGTAGATCCGTATCAACTTTTGAGCGATTTCCGATAACCGGAAGTGGTACTTTTCCTACTTTGAATTTTTCAAAAGCCTATAACTTGAGTACTATTTCAGATAGATAAATGAAATTTCACATGTAAGTAAAAGATCTAATTTTCTACCTTCTGTTAAATTTTGAGTAATTTCCGTTGACCGGAAGTAGTAATTTACGCTACTTCCGATTTCTCAAAAAACTAATGTAAATTTTTAAAGTACTAATAATATTGCGCACTATTATGCACTTTTTGATTTGGCGTTCACTTGGTGTGCAATAAATTTGTCTACGAGATTTTATTCTATTTTTAAAACTTTAAGTATTTAAAATGGGTTAAAAATCATGTCTATAGCCCGAGTTCCCATCCCCTGTTGTTTTATATAAGAATATTCGAGAAAGTTTAGGGGAGATCACTCCCGGTTTATTTTAGTACAAAATTGTATTTTATTTTGAACATGCCATTTGAATAATCTTTCGATTGGTAAAGTTATTAATCTATCTGTATTAAAGTTCATATTCTTGTGTATAACGCATAAAAGACTATGAAATCTGGACATAAAGTCTTGCAATCTATAAACTATAAACTCTGTGCATTAAACCTTGCAATC